TTGGGAACAGTGATGCTAGGTAAAAAAGAAGATATGAAAAGGAAAAAAAAAAAAAGAAAGAGGAAAAATATGCATATTGCCACTTGTTGGGGGAAATACAAAACTCCCACTTGGTTAGAATTCCATAAACATCCTTGTCATCAACTCCATCAATCCTTCACAGCATCAATTCATTCTTCAAAACCAAAAGCTTGTGAATAGTCCGAGCTAGGCATAATTCAATCCTCCACGACAGCCAATCCTTCACGAACGTCAACTCCAGAAACAGATGGGCTACTGGTCTGAGATGACACTAGCCCCCAAGTAAGCAGCCATTACCTTGGGTTGCAGCTTGTCAGTTGTCTTTCTTCGTATAAAACACGCCCCTCTCATCCCTTTCGACGTGTGGCAAGGTAGTGCAACTCCCAAGTGGAGTCGCGACCCTTTCCCAACACAGTCCCGGTGATCTCCCCTCTGACTAGCATTAAAGTTGGCAAACATCCAGGATTCTTCCATCCAGACGTTGGCGATCAAGCATTTCTGAATAGGAGATTAAGGAATATACACAGGGTGAAAAAAATTCTTAGCTGTACAATGTAGACCTAGTCAATCTAAATTCCAAAAAAACTGAAAGAATTGATATTTTTGAAAGAAATTTAAATTTAGATTTCTTTAAACTGTATATTTGCAACCTATTCCATGTGATGGAGATCATTCAACCCAATAGTGACAGGTTTTTCCAGTCCTAAACCAAGCCATGCACCAAGGGGCACATGCAGTCAGCTGCTCGAGAAAAAAAATTAGACACAAAGGGAACATATATCTACCCCCACTCTATGCAGTATGGCAGTGGCATACATGATTTTCCAATAATCAGTACTAAATTATCAAGGCTTTAACATTATATATATATATATATATTATATATATATATATATATATATATATATATATTATATATATATACATATATATATATATATACATATATATATATATATATAATATATATATATATATAATATATATATATATATATAATATATATATATATAATATATATATATATATAACATACATACATACATACATACATACATACATACATACATACATGCCAAGTTCCTTTCATACAAAAGAGGCAAATAGATGATGACAGCATGTGTAATGGGTGAATAGTGTTTGGAAAAGGGATTATCAAGTAGGAAAGGGGATGAAATTACTATCCTTTGTGGTAGGACCAGCTGAGGAGGGGAAGTGAGCAAACCTAATTGTAGTTATTTAGTTAACTCTCGAGTTAATTCTGGAAATTATTCACAAAACATACATTTCCTGAAAATACCAACCTTTTATACCATGCACTAATTTGCCTTCTCAATGAGGCACAATAGCCCTTATACCATACCATATTGTCTTTGATTTTTATGTTTTAAAAGGATACCGACTGCTCTACGAGCATCTGCCTCTGTCTGGAAGCGCACAGTTCCAGTGCCCTTCGATCTAATCTCTGCAAACCTGATGTCTCCAAACTCACGGCAAAGATCTCGCAGAGCTTGCCAGGTATAATCCATGGGTAACTGTAGAGATATTATACTTCTGATTATACTTCTGAAATATCTTTCAAAGCTAATATAACAAAATACATGTTAAGTAGATAATATCAGAAAAGATTCTAATCTCCACTCACATTGCTCAGCTGAATGACATTCCACTGTGTAGTTGTTTGACTGCTGCTGGGGCTGGAATGGTTATCAGTCTCGGGACAGTCCGGTTGATCCATAGGAACCATACCCACTGCCTGAGCCACTCCCTACTGAGCTGGCCCCAATGGCTCCCTCGGTTCACTGATTGGAGTTCAATGAACTACCATCCACCACCAGGCTACTCCCGAGACCACTCCAGGCCTGATGCCCAATGTTTGAAGCAATTCATGCCCGAACGCCAATGTTTCCCATGCCAGTTCCCATCCCCATATTGCTCACATCATCCCATTTCCCATTCCACCCCACCCCATACCACCGAAGCTCCCATGGTTACCTGCCCATAGTTGCCTCCCCCATCTATTTTCGCCCATCTCCAGCCTCACACCCATGTTCCCTCCCATTCCACTGTTCATGTTGTCCATAGCCACACCCATTCCTCCTCTCCATCGCCCATCAATCCCCATCCCCCACCCATGGTTTCTGGCCCACCACCACCACCATCCACCCATGTTTCCCATGTTTGATGCCTGGCACCGCACATTGGCCGCCATAGCCTGTCACCCCTGAGGGCAACAGCATTTGGTAAAAGCTGGAAGAGACAAAGAGGAAGCAGTTTGTATACATTCAGTTGTCAAGAAGGAATTATACATACACATACTACAAGCTCTCAAAAATTCCTGAAAAATTAAGCACTATCATGAATATACATTCATCTGTTAGATTCATGATACATACCTACCCTCAAAACCTGTGCAAATTGATATGAAGCTAAACCTGAAATAACCTTATCAAATAAATGGTACAATTCCACAGATATTTTCACAAAGTTAGACCTAGGACTAGCTAAAAAAAAAATCTTAAAAAACCATCCTAACCCAGAAATGATTGAGATCTGGTCCACATCCACTACACGAAATAATATGATATGTCTTGGCAACTTGTGATCATTTACACAGTCCATACATAAAACTAGAAAACGTTAAAATTATATAATTATATAATATATACATGCCAACCACTTTTATATAAACAGTGACTATAACGTATACTCTTAAATTGGCTGTTTCCAAACAAAGTCAGAATCTTTTCATGAAACTTTGTTTAATGTATCAGAATCTTGCACCACACCTTTCCAAAGATTTATCCCTACAAGTAGGATTTCTGGTATGAAACTCTGAAACACTGCACCATCCCCTGCTTTAATTCATTCCAGTTAAGAAATTGTAGCTCACCAGAAACAAGAAAGTACTGAAAGTTTCTGGTGTGTATGAGGGGATAAGTAAAGAGGGAGTGGCATTAACCACAGTCCTTTGACTAACAACTGGTTTCCAAAAACTAACCTATTCCAGTTTAAAAATGTTCTTGCACTAACCTACCAAGAAAGACCACTAATTACAAAAGATGCATCACGGTGCAGTCTACTGCTTCAGATTCATTCCTTCTTGTACATTGTTATGCCATGAAACGAACTTTTCCATTTGGAAGACCAACATGAACAAGAACAATATTCCATATCCATCACCAAAAACAATAGAACCACTCATTTACTACAGAAAAAGAAAAAAGAAAAAAATTGTGGTATACAAGTGAGGTGAGCTGAACCCTAGAGTCGTCAGCTGTCACGTCCACCTTACCTCCTGTGATACTTGGGTTAATGGAGGGTACATTATCTGTAACAAGAAAAGTAGGACATCGTGTCATACTGATGCTGTCAAATCACACTGATGGATACAACTTTCTTTCATCTCTTACTTTTTTTATCACACTCTACATTCAATATCCCTTCAGTCATACAGATAAGAAGATAATGGAAAAAAAAAAGGTAAAAAAATAAAAAAAAAAAAAATTAATAATGAAAAAAACAATCTGAAAAAATTGACACCAAATAAATCCGAAGCATGTAACATCACCTCACCAACCCACTTCCTTCAAATATGCACTTCTGGTACTACTTCACTTATTAAACACTGCAAAAGTTAATAGAATATCTACAAAGGATCTCAAAAACTACAACAATACACTTAAAATTCCATAATAGGAAATAATACCATTGTGCACCTATTCCTAATCCACCTCTCAAATTAAAGCCAAAAAAAGACGGATATATCCTAACCTGTCTCGAAAATTCTAAACCTAATCAAGTCCTAATTTTGAATCATTTGCACAGATTTGTAACTAAGATGATCATAACTGATAAAACTGAAGCATAATGAAATTTTCTGATATTCATTTATTTGCATATATTAATATCAGTTTCATTAATCAATACATACACATGCATATTCACAGTGAAAATGATATGGACTATCAATATCTAGTTCTATATAGATATTAATAGAACAATACATAAACTGATCAGGTTTTAATATTCTGTTTTGTAAAAAGATCTGACTATTCATGGTTTGTCCATCAAACAAATGGGCACCTACTGGCAACATCCGTCAGGGCTGACCCATTAATGCCCAAACCCATTCCCAGACCCTTAAAGGCACTGGAGGATAGTTTCCGTTTGCTGTTGCATATCCTGCTTTTTCAGAACACGGTCCATGGCCACTCATCCTTGCGGGTCATAATATGTCTGGTTGTGCAACATAGAAATACTTTGTACAGCCTCTACTGGAATGTTTCAAATTCTGAAAATGTTGAAATATATATATTTTATATGCTCAAAGCAACAACACTTGTTAAAAAAATCTTTCCACAATCTGTTTTCCAACTCCTCCCAACTGAATAGTTTAGAGATTTATAATATTCACATTCAGCAATAATCAGCCAGCCTTTAGACATGACAAAATCAGTTCAAAACACTCCAAGTCTTACCCACAACACCAAATCCACGACCTTTTGTTATCTTTGGTCCCTTACTGATCTTCAACAGAGAACAACCTTTCCAGCCAATTTTTAAAAAAAATCTTTCAACATCTTTTCATCAACTTTGTAATCAGCTGTAAAAGGAAAAAATTGTATTCATTAAAGAACCAAAATATTAATCATCGACTTCATTAGACCCCAAGATAAGAAACCTAAAAAATCAGGCCCACTAATACCAAACAAATTACATTATTTGGACCACTTGATGACATTATAATGCAATGCACACAATTAAAATACAAAAATACCGAAACTTACATTAGCAAACAAAAACTTTGTTAAGACAAGAGGTCTGTGATGCCAAGAAGTTCAAGGAATACTGTAGACAAGCCATATGTATTCCCAAATTTGTTTGCCATGCCTTGAGGTCCAATATCTGCACCACGAGCAAATTCACGACCTCCTCGCATGTCAGATTTCATTATGCCTCCTCTGTTGTCGGTCAGG